GTACAGCTTGTACATTGCCGAGAAGATGTATCAATCAAAGCAAGACTCTCAGTTCACCAATTCGTTGAGATGGCGACCGCCTCTATCTCGGTGCCGAAATGATATATCTCTACGGATAATACCGAAATTCAACCAAGGTATTATCATCGAGGCTGATGTATCATGTCTTGGGGAGAGGAAGCCAAAAAGATCTGGGACCTCCCTTTGGGGTGACAAAATACTTAGGTGATCCAAGGATATTTTAGGCATTTCCACTGCAGGTTTTAGTGCATCCTTGGACTGAATATTTTTGACAACCGACATCAAGGTCAGGATCTTTTTGGTACCTTGAGGTTTATCTCCCGTCGAGTCCGGAGCTACTCCACATACGGCCATTGAGCCTCGGCTCAAATACGTCGATCTCGTCGATCCCGGGCTCATTAAAGAAGCTGAATCCGGGGAAATGTCCATGATTTATGATCCGGTTCATTATTGCAATAATTTACTTGAGTGACCAAATAGCACAATACACAGTAAATCAACATGTCGGACCGTGTTAATCAACTCGCGGGTCATCTCAACTACCCCAAAGGTCTCCTCGCTGGCCAAGTAGCTATCATCACAGGCAGCGGCCAAGGAATCGGTGCAGAAGCAGCCAGGCTCTTCGCTAAAGAGGGCGCGAAAGTCGTTGTTGCAGATATCGACGCGGGTTAGTGGTCTCATCCTGTGCTCACAAAATATTGGTGTCTAACGCTACGAATAGAAAAATCCAAGGCTGTTGCTGATGACATCAACAAGAATGGCGGCCAGGCTATAGCTGTCCCCGGAGACATTCTCAAGGCAGGATATGTCAATGATTTGGTCAAGAAGGCTGCAGACTTTGGTGACGGAAAGATCAACATCATCGTCAACAATGCGGGCTACACTTGGGACGGTGTCATTCACAAGATGACAGACAAGCAGTGGGACACTATCCTCGCTCTTCACTGTACTGCGCCTTTCACTCTCGTCCGCGCAGCAGCGCCTTACTTCCGCGTACGCGATGGTGCCCCTCGGTGCATAGTCAACATCTCGTCTACATCTGGAGTGCACGGCAATGCGGGACAGCTCAACTACTCCCTTGCAAAGGCGGGTATCACAGGCTTCACAAAGACGATTGCCAAGGAGTGGGGTCCCTCCTTCGGCGTGAGAGCGAATACTATTGCCTTTGGACATATCCTCACCAGATTGACGGCGGCCAAGGAAGATGGCGCATTTGTTACTGGGCCAGATGGAGAGAAAATTGCCCTGGGTATTCCGACAAAGCAGAAGGAGGCGGCGGGGGATAATGCCCATGCAGATATTCCACTGAGGAGACCCGGTACTGCGACTGAAGCTGCGAGCGCTGTTCTGGCTGTGGCGAGTCCATTGTTCTCGTATGTATCAGGTCAGACCATCATGGTCACTGGAGGTCGTAACATGTAGAGTATATCCAGGTGGCGAGTTAGATAGAACTCCGGTGTCAGTCGAGGAGGGCATTAATCGACGAAGAAACATGGTATTAGATTAAACGGTACTATACTTCCCCAAACGCCCCCATCTAACAAGATGTGTCCCTTTTGTGCATGTCATTCCCATTCTTAGACCTTGAGCCACAAGTTGAAGACACCCTGAGCATACTGAACAATCTCATCACCACCAAGCTTGCTCTCTCCATAAAGACGATCGACGAAAGAGATGGGAACCTCAGCGACAGTGCATCCCATAGCCTTCGCACGCACCATAAGCTCCATCTGGAAACTGTATCCCTTGCTCTCAGTGCTAGCAATAGCCTTCTCCAGCGCAGCACGCTTGTACAGTCGGAAGCTGCCCGTGAGGTCACTCACGCCAGGGCGGAGGACAGTATCAGCGAACAAGTTGGCGCCACGGCTGACGAACTTGCGCTTGAGATCCCAACCAAAGACACCGCCGTTTCCAGCGTAGCGAGTACCCGTGACGATGTCGTAGTTGCCTTTGGCCTGGAGAGCGACCATCTCGGGGATGAACTTGGGGTGGTGCGAGAAGTCGGCGTCCATGATGATGACGAAGTTGCCGGTGACGAACTTGAGACCGTGGACGTAGGCTGTTCCGAGACCGAGTTTGCCAGCGCGGGGCTTGAGGACAACGTGGGGGGAGTAGACCTTGACGAGCTGCTGAGCAACTTCTTGGGTTCCATCGGGGGAGCCGTCGTCGACGACGATGAGTTCCCAATCGAGGTTGCTGTTCGGGTTAACGTTTGCCAGTCAAATTTGCATGGAAGACGTCACTGACTTCTCAGTAAAGGTGCGGTTCAACAACCAGGTAATAATGGGCAGGTTCTTGCGCTCATTGTAGGTTGGCAAGATAACCGAGTACTTGTTCTTAGTTGTAGCCATGGCGGGCGATTAGAAGGGGGGTATCGTTTCGAAGAAGGATATTAAACGAGGAATCGACTTGAAGAGAAGAAAGATCAAAGTTGATCGCGAACGACAAAATGAACGTGGGAAATTTGGGGGATCGCGTTTGTTGGATGTCTCGTCGCTATTCGCGTCAAGCCACTCTAAGGGGACACCTTGAAGCTGGCGATTGGGGATGGACAGGGGTGACTAAGCTCACGATGGCTGCCCCTGAATGAGGTGTGGCTGTGCGCGACTTGCTGTGGCTGGTGAGGTACAAGCTCTGGTTTGGCCGATGTCGATCTGCTAACATGGATTGATTTTGGACCATGACATGACTTGCAGGTCGGTTGCAGGGCTTGCGATTGTCAAATTCTGCGTCATGCTGGTCAGCTTTTGAGACATCAGAGGCTTCGCTGGCTGGTCACTTGAGGTCTTTTTTGTTGGGTCATCGGCCGATTTGATATCACAATGTCAACCACGACTTAATGCTGTTGAACAAGAACGTTTCCTTGCGTCACTGGACATTTACCGTCTGGTACTGAACACATAGCCTCCCTCCCGTCTCTGAGGTTCCTCTCCGCCGACCTCGCGTCCACTTCCCCAGCAAAACCAAGTCCCGGTACTAAGCCCAACCTGTGTCTCACTGGTTCCGGCGGTCCACACCTGAAGTCCTCTCTGTCTTCCCAGATCGGTGGCTTGCAATTTGAAGCTTGTGGTTCCTTCGAGGAGCTCCCGACCCACCAAAGCTCCCTCTTGTTCCCCGCAAAGCACGCACGCAAATGCAGCTTGGGAAGCAAAAAGGACTGGGAACTGGGATCCTTGACCCAGAGTCCCCAAAGCCAATCCGAGACGACGACCAAGTCCGTCCCGATCTACAGAGTTCACACCGTCAAGTACGGGTGTTCCTTGGGCTAACTTCACAGTCCACAGAGTCGCAGTCGAGTGACGAAAGGGCGCTTTTCCTTGGCCCAATGCGTGCACGCTATGCGATCTCCTCTTCCAATTCCCTTGCTCATCCCGTCCAAGTATCCTGTCACTCGTTCTCCGCGGGTGAGGAACCTCGATGCTGTTTGTGCGCCCTCCGCCTCGGCCTCGGAGCTACCCATGCCTTACCAATTTGCTTCTGGTTTCTCTCTGTCTGTCCATACTGCTTCTATAGGCAAGGTAGCTATGGATGGACATGGCTTTGTGGAACCGACCGTCGTGACTTGCCTCGTGCCTTTCTCTGCCAACCTCACTCCCCTTCTTCGTGTCTCGTTCCCCGACTTTGACCTCCTTCCTACATCAACATTGTGAAGCTTCCTCACTCCCGTAGCCTCAGAAATTATCGCAAATATCTCTCGTACCCATTATTGACTTCGCCGTGTCGCGCAAACACACGCTTATAAGCTAGAGTCAACTTGCGACACCAATTGTTACGTCATCATCATGTCGGACGGAATCGCTCCAGCTATAGACAAAGGTATGTCCCATCGCCAGTCGTCTTAATGGCCTCGTTTCCATCGCGTCTGATGCAGCGCTTCGCAATTGGCATGTTCGCGATGGCTGTTTCGACCTCCGCGGCTCAAGACTGCGCTTATAGCCGGAATGCTGAGCTGACATGCCCTAGTCGGCGCACCTGAACCCACGGCCCCCGAGGCCGAGGCCGGCGCTCCCACTTTGGACACCGCGACAGCTCCTTCGGAGCCCACCAAGCCGGAAGAATCCAAGCCAACTGAGGGAGCCGGTGGTCTCAGCGCCCCGCCGAAGCCCGTCGAGGTTGCGTCGGTGCCAGAGACACCCGTCAACAACATGACACCGGCAGGCGGCACTCCACGACCCGTGCTCAACCTCGAAGAAGAACCAAAGGAAACGCCAAAGAACGAGGACGAGAATGCGTTCATCACTGATGCTCCAACATCGGCGCCCGCTGTCTCCGCCCCAAAGGATGTCCCTATGACTGACAATGCTGCCGACGACAAGCCAGCGGGCATCAACGGTGCCAGTAAGCCTGAGGTCAACGATGTCGCCGAAGTGGCTGCAGGCGAAAAGCGTAAGGCTGAGGAGCCTCCAGCCGCTACCAACGGCGCATCCGACCCCGTTGCAGCAGAGAAGTCGGAGTCGGAGGAGCGTGCCGAGAAGAAGGCTCGCGTTGAAGACGCCGCAGATGAGCCGAACACCACTGAGAATACTTCGCCAAACGGTAAGCACGAAAATGGGAAAGCTGCGAAGAAGGACAAGAAGGTCACCCCAGTTGCTGGGAAGACGGCACGCAAGACGCGAAGTCAAGGACCTGTTGAGGTTTAGTAGCAAATGCGAATTGGCAGGCTTTTCCTTGATCTATCATGATGGTTTATGAATGCTGCAGCACATGATTTAGGGGTGGGACGGCGAAAATGGCGGATGGGAACGGGAAAAGGAACATGATCCCGAGATTTGCCTGGTTCAAGGATTTGTGGGTATATTTGTGCGTCAGGTAGTAAACACTGTTTGCATTTGCCATTACATTAATTATACAGTGCTTCATTGATAAGGATGGTCTATCAGCGATTTTGTCTATCGTGATAATGCTGTACTAGACTGATAACACCTGCAATCCTCATTCAAGCTAAGCCAAACCAAGTGCCGGAGACCCATCCATTGTTTCCTCCGTCCACAGCGGCAATTTCGGGGATCCGCCTCGGAGAAGTGGAGTAGGTTCTCAACGTCGAAGCCGGGATACAACTTTCGTTCCAATTGCCAGAGTCTATGTTGAAATTTCATCATAGTTCATTAGAGTGAAGTGAAGAGCTGTCTATATGGTAGTTGCGGTGTTTATGATGATCGTGAAGTGATTCGCGCTGAGCTGGAAAGGAAAGGGAAGAATGAAAGCATCAAGAGATACCACAACAAACTGGTACCGAGAATCCTCATTATTGTTGAAGATTTGTAGTAGTCTTCGGCGTGTATTTTTGAACTCGTGCGGCCGGCTTTTGGTATTGAAGCGATTGGGAGGCAAAAAGAGGTGTGTAAGATTCTTTGTGGCCACTTCATTATGTAGTGTTCAAACCCGGCCAAATATTGTCGCCCACAAAATTGATACCGGCTTTGGGTTGGTATTTGACTCCCAAAAGTATCTTCTCGTATGGTATTTAATACCAATAGTACTGCACGACAGTGAGATAGAGATCGTTTATCTCCTCAACCTGGCGAGCCTCAGCCTCCGGGGATCCGTGTCTGCCATATACCGTAGCAAAGAGACAAACAACTGCCATGGCTGCCATCCAAATCAGGAAGTCCAGAAAAGGTCTCAGACTCGGGTATGGCCAGTATAGACAGTGTGGCCCCTCTTCAATCACGAAGAGCACACTCCCGAACACCGAGAATACAGCGACTCCCAAGAGTGTCTGTCGATAGACGTGGTGACATAGGTAGTACTTGAGGCGGCGGATGAGGCTGAGATAGCTGGGAGCAGGTGGCATAGGGCCGGTACACATCTTGAGGGCACAGCCGTAGGGTATAGCCAAGACGGCCCCGAGTAATCCTATAGCCATCATTGTTGTTTTTTGAAACGAGGGTCTCGTATGTGTAGCTTGACGACGTGAAGTTTTGGTGTTAAGGTTTGTGGTATGAAGGTTACAAGTAAACGGAAAGGAAGAAGGACGGGAGCTGGAAAGTAAGGTAAAGGGAAGAAAGGGACGGAAGTTGGAAAGGGAGTGATGGCTATTTATAATGCTGTAGCAACAAATATACTTTTCTGTGCTTTTCTAAAACATTAACAGCATTTACTTAATGAAACCTAGTTGAACGGCTTCAGAGCTGGGATTGGCAAAACTGATGAGTGTCCCACTACATCACTTAAAGTATTATTTAAGGTTATTGATCTAGTAATGACTGGATGAGGATGTAGCTGTTAACATTAAGTTGTAAATCGGAAGCAAACTTTATTGTCTCTCCTTCTTCTCAAGTTGTTATGATCATCGTGCAGCTGAGTGCTTAACCTCCCAAAATTGCCACTTTATATAAGATTTAGTACCAATAGCACGGCACGGCAGCAAGATAGAGATCGATCCTCTCGGCAGCCTCAGGCTTTGGATCTCCACGTTTCCCATATGCCATAGCCAAGAGAACGGCAGCTGCCATCAGCAGCATTATAACAAAGAACTGCAATATGGGCGTTGGGCTCGAAGATGACCAGAATATGCTGGGTGAATATTTCCTCTCGCCGATCGCGATAAGCATGTTGCCGAAGAATACAGGCAGAAGCAGACCGACAAACGTCTGTCTGTACGTGCTGTGGCATAGATAGTACTGGAAGCGGCGGATGCAGCTGAGATTACTGGGGGCATACGGTGGAGGGCCGCCGGTGCATATCCTGAGGAGGACAGCATAGAATGGAGCGAAAAGAAACAAAAAAATGTTTATGATGATCATTTTTGATGATTCACTAACAGAGATCTTGTAGTAAGTAGTAGTGAGCTGATGTTGCATCCGTAGCCTGATGCTGGGATTTGTGGTGTGAGGAAGATAAGGAAAAGAGAAAAGTGTGAAGACGAGTAGCAAAGGAGTGCTATTTGTACCATTGTGTAAGAAAAAGAACATGCATACTTTGCTCTCGTCTTGTTTAAAAGTCAATTGAGTTCATAATAAATAAAAGTTAGTCACCAATAGAGACGTTCTTGAAGCTTAGGCTGGCGAACCTCCAATGGGAGGAAGGAGTTCAGAGAAGGTTTTGTGAATAAAAGAAACTTTCCAACACGTAAAAGAAGGAGGCAATTTATTATCCATCTGTCAGTCTTTCTCCAATAGGAGAGACTCTAACTTAAGTTCCAGGCATCAATCACAATATCATCATCAAAAAATGTTCTCAAATTCACTCAGTTCTCCCTCGGCGAGATGAAGTTCAGTGGCGCTCCAGTCCCTGACCAGGCCCTTAACTCAACTTTGAGTCACAAATCAAGTAACGCACTTAGAAAACTGCCAGAAACCTTTTACCTACTTACGAGGTAGGCAAAAAGGGGGAAACTTTTCTAGAAGTATCCTTTCTCCTTGTCACTCGGTGAGACACCAATAACATCCCAGCAATCATCATGAACTGTCTTGCAAGGGCTTCTTCCTGCTCTGGGAGGCAACTGAAAGTCCCAAAATGAGCGTATATCGCGAATTTTCTTTCCTTCATACCAACATGCACTCGCTCAAATAGCGTTTAAAGCGATAATGACTACAAAATCTTTCTTGCCTATACGTGTTCCAGCCAGGATCAAAATTCAGTTGAGAAACAAGACAATTTCTAACCCTAAGCTTAGATGTCAAACAGCCTAACTAGTCTAAAGCTCTATTGAGTCTTGCCTAACTTTGCCTGAGCTTGCCTAAATTTACCTAAGTTCATCTAAATTTACCTACGTCTTTTTGTCATTTAGGATAGAGGCCCTAAGTTTTCTCGCCCCCCCTTGCGTCTTCCAAGCCCGTCAGAAGTGGGCGGTACCGAGGAAAGTCGCCATGGCTTGCGTTGTTTGTTGTAAAAATCAATTCAGAGAAGGGAGGAATCTGAAGTATAAGAAGAACATATTCCCTGTATCTACGCTTACGGGTGCAGCTTTTTCTTTCAACTCACGAAGGAACAACCTCATGTGATGGCACTAGAGTTTCGCGATGTTATCTTGCCTCTTCTGTCACATAAACCTTTCGCTCCTGCTGTAATTCTGAGGAAGAACGCACACGCGATAATGCGATCTGAGTGGATGGTGATGCTCACAAGGAGACTTTGTGCTAAGTTTCGGAGCCCATGATTGAGACCCCCACCAGCTACCTAGCCAGAGACATATTGAAGTAGTGGAAGGCCAATTCTAGAAATGAGAGAACCGCAAGGGGGCGCGAGAAGCATGAAGAATGGAATCTGCGAGCCTTGAAGTGGGAGAGAACACAATAGTAACAGACCCATGGACTCATGAAGTTGCACGTTCAAGGTTGGGTATAAACTGCATCCTCAACTAGACAATTCAGCAATCTTGGATGTAGAGGGGCCAATACACGATCAATATAACAGCTTTGAGCCTGTCAATAAGATACAGTCTAAGCATCTGACGCCTGACGAGATCATGCAGTGTAACGTATGTTTCTTCCCTCTACTATCCATATCTCTGAACCAAATCTCTCATAACCTCAAGAACCCTGTAATAAAATTAGGAGCAAAAAGATACAACAGTTCAAGGATAGCCTCACTGTGTGCGAAGTGTCTCATTGTCGACAAAAAGGGCTGACACGTGAGTGTCAAATCTCCTAACTTGACGTCAGTCCCAGTGACTAAGAAGAGATATGTGTAATTCTTCACTCACAGCCTATAGAGGTCTAGCCGACCCTCAAAATCCTCTTCAGGTGCCGAGATCTGCGCAAATTTGTTGTATGCAGCGACGTACTCATCTCCAAACCTATTACAAGCTGGTCGCCATTGGCCAAACTCATCTAGGAATCACGATAGTTAGCAGGATTAATATCTTCTGTCGGGTAGGAAATTCCGGGAACGTGCATTCGTTATGTGCAAAGAAGCAGCATGCATCGAAAACGAGAGGTTGGTCGTTCTCAACGTCAATCCCTGCATTTGCATACCAAAGGTCGCCATGAATCAACGAAGGTTTCACAGTCCGGCCGTCACTCTCCAGAGGCCTCAAGAGCCTCGGGATTACCTTCTCGAATAGCGCCTGTGAAAGAACCTCAATCTCAGTATTGCTACCTTTCACCGACATCTCTAGGTCAAGAGTTTGTCGCATTGACTTGGCAAAGAACATCTCCCAGCTATCTTCCCATTCCACGTACTGGGGTAAATTTCCTGCGTAAGTTGTGATGTGGAAGCCGAACTTTCCAGTGGGCGACACACTTTTCTGGTGCATTGTTGACAGACGAGAAGCAAACTCGTCAGGGTCGGGCATATCCTCCGTCATGTCTCGAAACTCGCAGAGGAAGAAGTGTGTGTCTGGGATGTCCTCGTAGGTGCCGCAAGCGATGGGCTTCGGGACGAATTCTGGTATGACTCCATGTATCGCGCTCATCGAATGGAACTCCCCCTTTGTCATGTTCATGCCTATCTCCTTCGAAAGGACTTTGATGAAAAACGACTGAGGCCTACCGTCGCTAAGCAGAACATCAATTCGACCCGTCTTCGCCCAGAAGCTTACACCATGGGTCTCGATGGATGTGACTTTACATCCCTCTGGTAGCTCTTATCAAGCAGTCAATATGGAGACAATGGTCCAAGTTCATGGCTTCTAAGTTGGCTTACCCCTCAATACGGCTGGATCAATGTTGGTGTTGCCTAAACCGAAGTCGTAGCCCTTTGCATCGTTGTAATTCATTTCAGATCTCTTTGAGTATGTTGATTGCCAGAAGCTAGGCTCTTGGAAAGGGAGTAGGTTTATTATACATACAGAGTAGGTTTATTATATACACACAGCGTTTTTGGTTGGCGTGGTTGCACTCACTACTAACACGGTCCACTGGTCCAATCGATAAGCGCCCATCACGAAACCAACGTCCGAGATCAACAGATGCCTACCTTAACTATGGACGGCGGCTAACGGCATCCATTATCGGATACTGTTGCGAGCCTTATTTGATCTGGCAACGGGTAAAAATACTAAAATAAGAACTCCTGGCTTTTATTAGTCATTTATTAGGATGTCCACTAGGTATGAAGCTGGAGTACTGTGAGAAGATGCAATGAGACCGCAGTTCTTTGTATCATACACTTATGTATTTATGGCATTCCTCTACAAAATAACTAGGTAGCAAAGACTTTGTCAAAGTCAAGCCGCTTATGCGGGCCGTTCCGGTGCACCGGCAGCCTTATTCTCCATCCTAGCGCAACCAAGCTAATGGAAGTCTTTCAATGTCCAGCCATCGAGATCTCCGTGATTCTGTCGCGCCAGTGTTCGACAGGATACACGACTTTGACACCGTTTGCCTCGAGTCTTTGCTGCCCATCATTGTTTGCAATAAATGTTCCGGGTTCCCTGATGCCCACATAAACAGTCTTGATAGCGCCCTTGAGTCTCAAGATTCTGGACGCGCAAGTCATGTTGCCGCTCAGCCTCTCATTGCAAGGTTCCATGGTTGTGTACAGCACAGTATCCGGTGGAAGGACTTCATGTATGCGTTCCTCGGGAAGGTTGTGCTCGTCGGCGATCTTGATAAAACAGCATTGCTCTGCGTGCGTGGTGCCTGGATCTCCTTTGTAGTCTCTCGGATATTCAAGCGAGTACCCTGTCGATAGGACCCTGCCTTTGGCTGCATCTACAAGTACTGCCCCGACGCAGAATTTATTGCCAGCTGGCGGCGACTTTTTGGCTTGGGTGAGGGCATACTCCATGAAAGCTTCATGATCGCCAACTTGGAACGTTGGGCTGGCCTCAGAAGCCATGGTAAGTGAAAATGAGGCGATAAATGAATGTTTCCGTCAGCTCCTCAGTCAACTTGGGAGGCATAAGTCAATCTTTTCAGTCTTGACACTTATGTTATGCGTTATTTTCCAAAATAAACCTGGGTTCGTATCTGGATCTTGGGGTTGTTGGCTCGGCGCCCAAAGCCTGACCTGCATCCCAGCAACTCCACAAGCAGTCGCGACTCGACCAAGGGCCTGAGAAGCCTGTTTCCTCTGTCGAAGCCGCAGTCCAAGACTTCAACAGCCCTAGACGAGCAATCAAAGGTCGAAAAGGGACCCCTTGGACTAAATCTTCTGTATTGCCCAGCAGAGCCCGAGATCGACCTCATCTTTGTTCATGGATTGGGCGGCAATTCAAGAAAGACATGGAGCAAGTCGTTCGCAGACCAGTCGCACTTCTGGCCTGAGGATTGGCTCTCCCAGGACCCAGCCTTCAGAAATGTCCGTATTCATAGCTATGGGTATGACTCGTACTATTTGAAAGGCAAGGAAGACTGCTTGAACGTTCATCACATCGGCAAGTCATTCCTAGGTGCCATTAGCATCGCGCCATGTATTGCGAACTCCAAAACCTACATCATCGTTATCGGCCACAGCATGGGCGGACTGGTAATGAAGAAAGCATACATCTTAGCCAAGCAAGATGCAGAACACAATGCGCTGGCTGCACGTTTTGCCGCTTTCTATTTCCTCGCTACGCCACATCGTGGTGCAAACTCAGCAAAGATGCTCAAGAACCTGCTCAAGATCGCGTACGACCGTACCTATGTTGGCGACTTGGAGCCGAACTCCGAAGCAGTTCAAGTGATCAATGATGAATTTCGTCACTTCTCGGCTGACCTTGAGCTCTGGTCGTTTTATGAAACACAGAATATGAAATACTTCAGCTCACTTATTGTCGATCCTGAGTCAGCAGTCCTTGGATACCGTGGAGAGAAGCAAATACCAATGACCGCTGACCATCGTTCAATATGCAAGTTCGACACACCTCAGGACTCCAATTACATACTTCTAAGAGACTCGCTTGCCTCGACAGTGAGCAAGATCACTACGGCAATTCCGGAGAAGAGGCATGAAACCATCAAGAACCTCAAGAATTACCTCCAAGTTTCCGATATGTTGGATGATGATCTAGCAAACGTTTGCGAATCTTGGACGCCTGGATCGTGCGAGTGGATTTCGAACAAAGACGATTACATCAAATACGGTGAAGAAGCTGATACCAGAACGTTATGGATCAAAGGCAGACCTGCAACTGGGAAATCTGTTCTGGCCGGTCACATTGTCGATCAGCTGAGGAAGTCAGGTCAGATTTGCCGCTACTTCTTCTTTAAACACGGAGACAGGTCCAAGGCTTATCTGGGTCGTTGTCTCCGACGTCTGGCCTTTCAGATGGCAGCATCGAACGTTGAAGCCAGTGATACCATTCTAAAGATGCAGGCTGACGGTATTTCTTTCGACGGCATTGACGAACGTACGCTCTGGAGGATTCTGTTCCTTTCTGGTATCTTTAGGGTTCCCATGGCTCGGCAATACTGGGTCATCGATGCCTTGGATGAGTGCTCAAACCCTCTGGTGCTTTTGCAGGCCATTCTCCCTACCATGGATGAGTCCATACCACTGCGGATTCTAGTCACGAGTCGAGACACAGTCGAGCTAGATCAAGGTTTCGCGGTCATCCCAGGGAACATGGTCCAGATTCTGCCAGTGACTACAACGGATACACAATCAGATCTCAGACTCTTGATCAAAAGTCGGAGCCAGGCCTTAGCAATAGCGAGACCTCAAGATCGAAGCGCACTAGCTGAGACGATCTTAGACAAATCGAGAGGGTCTTTCTTGTGGACGATTTTGGTCATCGAGGAACTCCAACGCTGCCACAGTAGAAAGGAAATCCACCAGATTCTTGAAGATGTGCCAAGGGGCATGAAGTCACTATACAAGCGGACTCTCGATTACATGTCACAAGTCAGCCGAGGAAAGGAGCTGGCCAAAACCATTCTAGTATGGGCAGCTTGTGCGGTTCGACCAATGACTATCGGTGAGCTAGATGGTGCTTTGACCCTGGATATTCAAGACACATTCCCGAACTTGGAGGAAAGCATCTCAACGCTATGCGGTCAGTTGGTGATTGTTGATAAGCAGGGGCGAGTAAATATGGTGCATGAAACAGCCAGAGAATTTCTCACATCTGTTGGATTGGAATCCGAGTTCTCCATTGACGTAACTCAAGCCCACACTCGAATGGCAGAGGTGTGTCTGAGCTACCTCGTAGGAGACGAGATGAAGCCTCCGAGGAACAGACGTCGCAGATCTTCGGCGAACTTACCAACAAGGCAGGATTTCGCCATCTATGCGTACACAGCATACTCATATCATCTGTTGAAAGCTGATTCGGTGGCTGTAGGGACATTTCAGCTTGTCACCCAGTTCCTGAAGTCTAATGTGCTCACCTGGATCGAAGCGATTGCTGACTCCCAAGATCTCACACAACTCATTCGTGCCTCTAAGCATCTCAAAGCCTACATGAATCGGTGTGTTATTGAACGCTCACCACTGGATCCTCAGATGAGGGCACTACGGCAATGGAGCATGGATCTTGCTCGGATTCTAGCCATGTTTGCTAATGCGCTCTCGGTATCACCCTTCACAATATACTCACTAATACCTCCATTCTGTCCTACTGAGTCCATGATATACAAAGTAGGGGGTTCAAATCAGAGGCTCGAAGTCCTTGGTGCGTTCAACGAGCAATGGGATGATAGAATATTATGCGTTGATTTTCGGACGGGTCAACTGAAGGCTGTACGCTATGGAGATGGATTCCTAGCCATCGCACTTGGCTCAGGAACAGTCATACTGTATTACACTGCATCCCATCAGGAGTACAAAACCTTTGGGCATGGCGAGTCTGTTAACTTGATTGCCTTCAAGGCTGGGTCTGACCTCATGGCAACATGTGGTATCATGCTTAACTGGCCTTTCATTTTATTCTCTATGGTGTCTTATCGTCTTATTCCATCGCGGCCTCAATACGATATGAGAGTTTAGAAATACATAAAACAGTCAAGACCCAGAGGAGGACTTCGTCGAAGATGACGACTTTTGCAATCTCCTTTCGCGTCATCTTGTCCAATGGCCGACTTGTGTTGACAAATGGCGACCAGCTCCTCTTTTGCAATGCCCGGATCCCGTTAACCGTGAGACGAACGACCAACTCTTGTAGATAGAGGATGATGCATTGCTTGTGGAATAAGTAGTAAAAGATGCGGGGGATTGGCCAAGTGTCAGAGGGTATGATTGGCGCCGAGTAATCGAGCATCATCAGCTCAACGAGTAAGTAGGACGGATTTCGAGCAAACGCCCACAATGCATGCGTCCCTGGATCCCCTGTATGCTTGAGAAATGGTGTGGCGTAGCTGCCTATCAACCGACTCAATACAGAAAGTGCAGCGACGGCGATCTTTAACTGTACACTCATCTTGACGATCGCGTTTGGTTGATAGCAAACGACTGATGTTTGGTGTTTCCGAATGGAGTGTCGTACTGGACCAGCTTGAGAAGGAAAAGGTCGAGGTTTGTGGGTTCATTAATGAGGCCGATCAAACCCTTTTATATGTTTCTTGAGGCCCTTCGGTAAAGTAAAAACATCTCAAGGTTGTGAACGGAAAAGTTTAATGATAGACTTCGTAGAGAGAGCCGAATCAGAGGCATGATGCGTACAAACCATGATAGAAAGTTCGTTGCCTTATATTAAAGGTTTAGGAAAACTTCTGACCGTATAGTCTAAGGTCTTCTAAGTTTATACCGACATTCACTAAGTCTTCATGTCGTTTAGATTAGATATCCTAAGTTCTGTTGTTTCCAGTATCTTGGCTATTGGATAATCATGCAATTTACAATTGATCAATAGAG